TGATTTTGCCATTTTATATAAGGGACACCATTTTACTATACCATTGTAAATAATGGTACTTTAGCATCCACAGATTTTGCTATCCATGGGGATCTTGGAACCAAAAACCAGTGGATAACAAGGGCCCACTGTAATTGTCTAGTAGTGTGAATAGTTGCAATGACAACCTCATTTTCCAGGAACTCTGGAGGACCCACAGGATGATTTCATCATTGTGGGTCTGGTTATAAATCCATAGCCTGATACTTCTGAGCCATCTACTGTGCTCTGCCAGCCATTTGGGGGAGACAGTATGGAAGAGGTGGGTTTTCAGGTGCTTTGATCATTGCACATAAGTAGAGTGTCCTTACCTCTGCAACATATGCACACCCAAAAAAGCAAACACAAGCATGTTGGATTTATGCCTATGTGTGTCATTAACAGGTTACCAGACAATGTTTCCAAGCTTGGACCATCTAGACCAGAGCTATCTACTTAGAAGGATGATTTATTTATTTATTTATTCATTTCATTTCTATGTCACATTTTTCCCAGAAAGGGACCTAAGGTGGCTCACAAAATAAAAACATTTTAAGATTTTACAATAAAAATTTAAAAAGAATCAAAATCATCTAGATAATACAGTATTAAAATTAACACAAAAACATACAAAAGTGTTTTTTTAAAAAAATGATGACTAACTTACTTCAAAAACTTCTTATCCCATAAACCACATATGCCAAGCTCCAGACACAACTCAGCCAATATCCATGCAGCCTATGAACTCCCCAGTCCCTCTGATTTGATTTACTCCCATTCCTGCTGTCCAGCATTGGGAACAACTGAGAAGTGCTCAACTGAAGTAGCAAAAGAAAAACAGACCCTACTCGGCTTTGCCTTTTGCCACATCCACTGCAAGCCTGTAGCCCTCAGTTAGTGGCCACCACTGTTAACAGCTGTCAGGTTCATAGCTGTTGCCCACCCCATCTGATAGTGTCATCTGTGCCTGATGCTGATGGTGTCACCTGATGTGATCTGTATCTGCTAGTGATGCCACTAGGGCTTCTTTTCAAGGTCTGTTGGAAAGTTCCATTAGTTTAAAATACAGCTACTATACTATTGACAGAAATCGGCCAATCAACCAATGCCCCCCTCCCACCCCATCAATCTATATATAATCCCAAAGTAATGGTACCCATTCATATCATTGGGATGGGAGGAAGCTAAAACCAGCTTCTGGTTTTAACATTCATTCATAAACATTCATTTCCAAGTCATTCACTAGCAATAACCATTTTTGGTTAGGAAAAGATGGAGTCATGATTAGACAACAAGAAGGAACATCTTATGTACACAATCATGGGAACAATGAATCTCACAAGAGGAGTGTAGTTCATAAACACCTTTACTATGAGATTTAACTGCAGCCATTGGAGAATAAGGGTGGTTCAACTCCCATTTCAAACTCATCTCATTACATATCTATAAGCAAGCCAATCTCTCTCACCCCCAAGCCTCCCTAATCAGCAAGTACACAGATCTATGGCAGGGGTTAGGAATGTGTGGCCATCAGATAGGAATGAACCCATAATTCCTCATCATTTGCCAGGATGACAGACTGAGGGAAACTGTCCAGCTGTATCTATAGGACCTCGAGTTCCTGGACCAGAGTTATCAATGCCAAATCTACACTAGCCATGGATAAGAGCTTTGTTCAGTTGCCCTTTGGAGCTCCCTAAAATGTGCAGATTTTTTTCATAAGTATACTGAGTGTTAATAGCAGAGTGGAAAAAACTTAAGTTTGAACAAGATGAATATAAGAGAAAGCAAAACTAGCCAATTTGCCCAGCTGGTTAGCAGACTTAAGTGTTTAGCTCTTTAAAAGCCTGACTCTGATTCCGAATCTGTGTATTCAACCATATTTGGTGGCAATCCACTTAAGGAATGATCTTCTGTGTCCCCTGAGGTAATCCCATTCAAAAGAAAATGTATCCTGTGATAGCTCACAAAGGTGTTCCTGGAGAGCAGTGTCAACTGGCAATGGTAATGAATTTACTTAGGGTTTAGTCTAAATGTTAAAGGAGATGAACCCTATTCCCAAACAAGGTTTGGCACCTTGCATAGCACCTTTAAAGACTAAAACCCAGACTGAATTCACCACTCCATTGTCCTTCAGACCATCCACCACCATTAAAAATACTGAGAGTCATAGAGGACACCTTTGTAGTAATCTCTTACACATGGTACTGCTATTGATAGGAAGAATGTTGGGCTACAACCCTGATCTACAACTCAGCCATGGAAACTCAGTGGGTGACCTTGGGCAAGTCACACTCTCTCAGCTACAGAGGAAGGCAAAGAAAAAAACTCTTAACAAAGCTCATCAACAAAACCCCATGATAGATTCACGTTAGGGTTTCCATAAGTTCGAAACAACTAGAAGCCACACAACAACAAGAAAGACTATTTTCTTGCTTGATGTAGAAAAAAACAGTCCATCTTTCCCCTTTCTTTTCTCATTTTTGTGTAAAAATAGAGATGGGAGGGATGGACTTTGCTCCTTCTACATGCAGCAAAAAGAGTTTCCCCATCAACAGTAGGATTGTGTGTTAAGAGGTTACTACAAAGGTGTCCTTTCTGACTTTCAACTGCAAATGGATTATTAGAGCCAGCAAGGATTAAAGGTGAAGTTAGATAATTCAGGACCACTTTTCCCTTTCTTATTTTCATTTGATGGTGTATTTCATGAAACAACTCTACTTTGGCTGTCAAAAATCACACGGCATCAGCATCAAAAAGCAGGGCTACACTTTGGCAAGATTGTTGAAACTGTAAAACAGTATCAGCTTTGTTTGTTTTTGGAGAAGGAACTTGACAAAGCTTCCCTAATGGTAAAAAAACAAAAATCCAGGTTCCAGTTCTTGAAGTCGCTCTAGGATAAATTGTGAATCAGAAATAAGGGGTTTGCCACATTTATGATATTTTAATGATCCAATAATAGTATTACTTACCCATGAATTTAATTTCTGCTTATGTTAAAAACCAAAGCAGTAACAAGGCACATTTGGCCTCCAAGATATTTTGGCCTTCAATTCCCATAAGTCCTGGAGCTCATTCATGCTATGATTTAAACCAATTTGCCTTGTTCACACTTGAACTGATTTCAGACCTGATTGTGTTTGGTCTGAATCATGTTGAATTGACTTGTGGGATGTTTGTCTTCTTGCCAAGAGATGTGGGGAACTTCACTTGCACCAAGTGCAAGTTTGTAGCCATCCTGGAAGAGAAAGTCAAGCAGCTGGAGGCCTGGATAGCTACACTTCAGCACATTAGGGAGCAAGAGGTTTTCCTGGACAGAGCGGAATGAACAGTCTTGGACAGGGACCACACAGAGGAAGTTGTTGAGAAGGAGGTCATTTCATGCACACAGAAGGTGGACACCTGGAGGAATGTCACACACTCAAGTAGGGAAACCACACACTCAAGTAGGGAAACCAGGGATCGTTCTGGGAGTTTGCAGTTACATAATTGATTTGCATCTCTCTCCCTTATCAAAGATGAAGAGGAAGAGCAGCAGGGACATCCTCAGAGACAGTGCAGGGGACCCCAAGAGTACCACTGCAGGGAACAGCTACTGCTAAGCCTCAGAGGAGGCATGCGGTGGTGGTTGGGGACTCCTTGTTGAGGGGTACAGAAGCAGTGCTGTGTGGGCCTGACAAGATGTCCTGGGAGGTGTGTTGTTTCCCTGGGGCAAAAGTCTGTGATGCGACAGCAAGCTGACAAGACTTGTCAAGCCTACTGACCATTACCCCTTCCTCTT